TTTTTTTTTTCAATAAAATGGAGGATTGCCCTTATTACTTACTCGCTCGTAAAGGTTATCGGAAAAGGAGGATGTATTTTTGGTTTTCATGGTACGGATTGTCTCTAGCATCTATTTGTCTTGAAATTTGATCAATCTTTGAAATATTTTTTTGAATGAATTTTCCATTACATTTTTAAAGAAAGAAAATGTGATGCCAAATAATACTTTCAAATGAATATTTCTTGATTTCAAATTAGATAAAATGAAATTATAACGAAAGCGTAAATGTTCTTTCGTTCAAAGATATGACTCAATTCATGTATAAACAAAATATTCATAAAAGTAGTATTTAAAAACCAAACTAATAAATTATGAGTATACATCTTCTTTATAACTTTCTTACTCACTCAATCTCTTCATATCTTGTATTAGCAACTATATAGTTTGGAAGTGGATTCATGTTTGCATTGACCGAAAGCAAAACACTATCAAAATTGATCTAACTTTGCTTAATTAAGTCCAACAACTCCTTTTTTACAAGTAGGACAATGATTGATGCTATGCTTAGTGGCACAAGAATGATATTCACATCTCTCATCTTACGTGTACCATGAAGGATAAGGAGGGCATATCGGGTTATTAGGAATTGGAGTGATATGCCAAATGCTTACCGAGTGTTCAAAAATTTTACCTAATGAGAAAGGTAAAGGCGACGAGTTGTTCGAGCTCTTTTTTATAATCTTGATTGTTTTGATGATAATAGTTGTGTGGTATTTATAGGTTGTTGGAAGTTGGGGAATTTTGAAAATACATAGTAGATTGAGGGAATTTATTTGCTTGGTAGGTTTGGTGGGGCATATGGAATGGATTCATTTGATTTAGTTAGTATGTTTAGTTCGTGATGGTCATTGGATTGGGGGTGTATCGGGTAAATGAAGGTCTTTGGGGGTTACTAGGATCATCCCGATTTTTATTTTTTTCTTGATTACTCTCTATTATTAGATAAATAAGATCTAATCTTAACTCGATATCTCACTATCTCGTCCTTTTGGTACCACTATTTTTTTTTAGAACTATCAAGAATCCTCCTAGCTTTGATCACTTGTTCTATCTCTCAATATGATAACAATATTAGTAAAATTAAAGAAAATTTTTTCGATCATATACTCAAAATATGGTGTCTTAAAAGTATTTGAGAAAATAGCAATCAACTCATGTTCAAGTAGTGACGGATAAATTTGTGACGCCACCTCATGTCATCTTTGGGGATACTCCTTGATGGTTTCTTTTAAATCTTCTTCTATACCCTATAGATCTAATTGGTTTAAAGCCACATCCATGTTAAACTTATATTATTTGAAAAAAGTGTCAACTAGATCTTTCCATCTCTAAATTTTTTACCCCCCAACATCATGTACTAGCTTATAGTCGATCCATTTAAGCACTCTTGAAAAAAATGGATGAGAAGCTTGAACTTTCTCAAAATCACTACATCAAGAACTAAGCACTTTTTTTAGGCCCCGATTGGATCATAAACATCTCCCCCTCTATTACTCTTGGACGTTCCTCAAGACCCATTGCTTGTCCATACTCGAATCATCAACTACCTTATAATCATGATTCTCCTCTCCTATAGGATCCACCATAGGCTTATATGCCATTTATGAGACTCGTGGGTCCATCGGGTATGCTTCGATAGCATATGAGGTTTTAGTATAGAAAGATAATTGATTAGTTGTTGGTATGTTAGATGATCCGGGTTGATTAGGCAATGGAACCGCATATGGTATGTTAGGTTATGTTTTCCACTAGTTTGAACTACCTCTCCCACTTAGTTCCCTCTCTAATAAAATTTTCATTTATACCATATTCTCTTTTAGGAAGTCAATATCTTACTAATGCAACTAACCTTGTCGTGCCTTATCCTCGTTATCCATTTAGTAAGCCCCGAATCTAGTGCTATGGACGTGTGAAAGGGATTGAGCTTTGGTAGAGTAACCTATGTTTCAAAATCTTAGAAAACTTAACATATGTACAATGAATATACAATATATAAATGCATTATTTGAATCCAGTTAGATGTCTTTCTTTGTTTGATAGCACTGCAAGAGTCGAGGGTTAGAATAGATATCATTTGAAAATGATTTATGTCTTACTAGGTCAACCTTAGTGGACATGATCTAGCTTTTTCATAGTTTTGGCAAACCGCATCTAGTCCTAAAGTCTTTTCAAGTTTCTAAATCATCTAAATTAGTAGTGGGGTAATTCAACCTTTAACCTTATGTATGAAGAGATAAGAGAAGATTATTCCACCATTTCATATGTATAGGACAAGTTCAAGTCCAAACTGGAGTTTAAAAGAGTATCGGTAAACTTTCATCATACTTGCATCTAAATCTCTCTATCTAAATGCTAGCAAGCTTTTAGCTCAAGTCTAGAGCTTTTACGGAGTTTTCTCCATGATGTGTGCAATAGTTCAAAGAAAGCATCCAACAAAATTCAAAAAGTATGCAACAAAAAAAAATTACAAATATTTAAAATTTATACAAGAAATAAATGAAAAATAAATTACTCAAAAAAATAATCGACAAAAATAAATCCAAGAGATAAAGTTAATAAATTAAACCTATGGCCTAACTCTAGTCCCTAGTGGAGTCGTCATTCCGTTGCTACCCGACGTCAAATAGGACTTTAAAAAAAAGATTTTATTTACAAAATTATTTACAAGATTAAATTCACCATCTAGTATTGAAGAAACTAGAAACCTAAAATAGGCACTAGTTTATAGATTAGAACGTAAGGAGTTGGTTAAGCTTTTAGAAAGATGTTTAATCACCTAAAAATATCCTTTTTGAAGAAAGATACCATATATAATTTAATCATAAATTCATCTCCTAAAGTATTTTATTTGTACCAAATTACTTTTTGATTTAAAACTCTAATTTTCCAAGCTAAATTAAGTTTTTTTATTTTTTTAGCGTGGCATTGTATTGAAATGATCATCGGACCCATTCATCGGGAGACATGTCGATTCAAATATCATATCCACTTCAAGTGTCGACACAATCCATGTGTCGAAGAATAACCTAATTACTAAAAATAGTTTCTTTTTGGTAACAACGAGTGCCTATCGGATATGAGACTTTGTTAAACATTTTATGACTTTTTTTCTTTTATTTTTTTTTATTTGGTGGAAGATCGTTACCAATCCCTATAGAATTAGGAGAGTTGACATCCTCCACCTATTAATTACTGAGTCTAATTACTAAATAAATAACTTAAAGTTATATTAATTAAGTAAATTAAAGAAAATTCAAATACTAAAATCAAAATTAATAACAAACATGCATAAAATAAATTCAAGGTTAAAATTATATTAATTAAAATAATTATAAAAATGTAAATATTAAAATCTAAATATAAAAATGATAAGCATGCACAAAAAAAAAATTCAAGATTAAAATTACATTAATTAAAATAATTAAAGCCAATATTAAAATCTAAATTAAATATGAAACAACAAACATGTGTAAAATAAATTCAACATTTAAAACTAAGATTTTTTTTTTTTTTTTTGGCTTTATTAGTTACCTTTTTGGGTTCGAGCTGGACTAGTCCAACCCATTTACACATCGGTTGGGTTTAGCCAAACCACAAACATAAACAAAAAACCATTTCCTTTCTTTTTGGATCAAACCATCCTCTCTCTCTCTCTCTCTCTCTCTCTCCCTTTCCTTTCTTCTTCTTCTTCTCTTATGCTTTCGAATCACCCTCTCACCATGGATAAATGGTTCATCCTTCTCTCTCTTCCTTTCCCTTTCTCTTTGTCCTTCCTTTCTTCTTTTCCTTCTTCCCTTTTGCTTCCGAATCACCCTCTCACCATGGACAAATGGTTTGTCCTTCTCTCTCTTCCTCTCCCTTTCTTTTTTCTCCTTCCTTTCTTCTTTTCTTATCTTCCTCCTTTCCAGAATCCCTCTCTCTCTCTCTCTCTCTTTCTCTCTTAATCTTTCCTTCCCTCTCATTCTATTAATCACTCTTCAAATTAGATCAAAACCCCCAATTGAAAATTTCTCTCTTTGGCCAAACCTAAGTTTTTTATTTTTCAATTTTTTCTTTCAATTGGCCAATTAAACCCTAACATCAATTTCAATACAAATGTAAAAATCCCCAAATTCAAACCCTAACTGTCAAGAACACTAAATTTCTAAAAATTCTAATTTAATTTTCAAATTCAAACCCTTTATTTAGCTAAACAAATACCAATGCATGTGTGTGCAAATGGAGGGGAAATTCGAGTATGACAAGATGAACATCATTGCCATCAATCCTCTAAAACTAGAAATTACATTGAAAAAGATAAAGAGTGAATTACCTTAAGGAAAATTTGGATTGAATATGAAAAAAAGCTTCCTAATGGATAACTACGAGCTCTAATAAATTTGATAAAATCTTTCCTTTTCTATTTTTCTTTTTTTTTTTAGCTCCAGTTTTTTTTTCTTTCCAATGACTATTATTTTTATTTCTTTCCTCCTTTTCTCTATTGATCCCCCATTCCTTGTGCTTGCGAATTTTGTATATGTGTGTGAATGCTTGGCTCTCCACTATGATGATGAAGGATATTTTCTTGTAAGATATGGTGTAAAGTGATGGATTGATAGTGGTCAAGGGTTTTATAGGCTATAGTAGTGTAATGGAGATTATGGCGAGTAGGTTTAAGGTGCTGAGTGGACTACAAATTACCGTAGTGGAGGTTGGAAGTAATGTAGCAAGAGCTACAAGGATGTGTTATAGGCTGCAAATTACGGTATGGTGAGAGAAACTGGAATTGTCCATTGGGTACTCCGGTGAAGCTACAAGGATGTGTGTTGTTGGTTGTGGGATATTAAAGGTTATGCTACAAGAATTTATAGCGAGTAGAAGGAGGTCGTTGGTAGTATAAGAGTGAAAATATTATAAGACAAGTTAAGGTTGTACGAGGTGAAGTTGTAGCTCGTGGGTCGTAGAAATTATTGACTCAGGGGAGAAGGTTGTGGTCTACAAATTTTAGTAGTGAGGGGTGTTAGGCAAGTTCTTAGTGGCTATGCGGAAGGTGCGAAGAGGTTTGTCCAAAAGGTAATGCAAGAGCTACAAGTTGACGTGTTGCAAGTAAAAGAGGATTGTGTAGCGAGTAGATTGTCTAAATGGTAATTCGGGGGTTACAAATTGGTGATCTGTAGTGTAGAAGGTCATTGTTGGAGTAAGTTGACTTGGAGGGGTTATAGGATAGTGACTGCATTAAGGTGAGGTTGCTAGGCCGATGGGTAAGGAGTGATGAATTTTCCAACGGATAATTTGGATGTGGCAAGAGTTACTAGACGAAGATGAAGGTTGCAAGTTGAAGGTTAGGAATATGGCCAAAAATGTCTAGAGGTGGAAGGGACATCTCTTCTTCTTCTTCTTCTTTTGTATTGTGTATAAAATTTTAGTTAATAAATAAAAATTCTTTTTTTTTAATTTTTTCTAATCTCCATAATTATGTTTTTTTTTTGTTGATTTTTTTATTTTAATAAAACAAACATGAATCTAAATAATAAAAGCATAAGAAAAACAAAAGAAACTAAAATAAAGAAGAATGGATGAAAATTGAAGCATGACATTTATGTAAAACTCTAAATGAAATTATGTAACACTCAAGAATGGATTGTCACGATTACAAGAGCACTCTTGATAAAATTATCCTATACGAGTGTGAGAGGGAGACGCTCTCTATGAGAATTGGGCTTATCCTTAAATATGACTGTGAAAATTAAGACAAGTTCAAAGCCTAAATATGTTAGTTATTAAAGCTTATGTCAATATCTGGATTTTTAAACATGGATAATGATACTTTATTTACCTCGAACAATCATAGTTTAAGTTAGAAATAGGGATGGTAGTGGGCCGGGTATAAAATAAGTATTCTATCCAGCCAATCAATTAATTATTTTTTTAAAATACGCTAATGGGTAATGAGTTAAATATGAGTAAAATAATATTATCCATTTATATTAATGGATAATTTATTCATGAATATGGGTACCCTCTTCTTACCTTATTGATACCCATCTTTTACCTATTAATATAAAAAAATACTAAAACATAAAATTTTAAAATAAACAAAAGAAATGAAAAAATAAATCCATGTGAATAATTGAACCCATTTTTTTTTCTTTTTTCATTTGATTTTTATTACTCAAGTTCCAGTACCTCTTAGATGGATAATGGCCTTGTCCAAGTCACTTTGTCTAGTTGGGCCGGTTACACTACAATGGAATCAATAATGTACTTGAAGCCAAGAATGGGGAAGGAAACTGAGGGTATGGCATTTACCATTTTTTTCTAATCACATCAAATGTTGTTATGATCATTTGGTAGCGTACCAATTTTACATCTATCTTACTGCCAAAATTGATTTGAATCAAGGTATTGGGATGTTCTTTGGAACAAGCCTGGAAATCATATAACTAACGACATGTATTTTTTGCAACTTGCATAAAATATTTAGAGAGTCATTAATAATTCAATTTATTATTATATAATAAAGTATTTTTTTAGTATATCCTCATATTTTTAATCGAGTCCATTATATCTTTAACTATATATTAAGTTTTCAATCTATATTTTTATTAAGTTTTTTAAGCCAAACTAATGAAATTATTCACATGATTTCCATATGACTAAATTTGATTATCAAAATATTTTTACAAGACAGTCAAATAAAAAAAATAGTAAAAATTTTTTTTTAAAAAAAGTAGATAGATATGGATATGGCATAATATAATAGATGTGGGCTGGATCCAGAAATGGATAAGTGATTTTTAGTGGATAATGAGTAGGATAATGGGTATAGTATTTTTTAATGGGTAGAGTATGTGATTGGCTTAATGGGTTGTGACATCCCAAGTCGGAAACCACTACTAATTATAAGAGTTGTTATTTCACTTAATAAAAATTTAATGCAGCACACATTTTTATGATGCATAGACATTCTTTTTTGGTGGGTAAAACTCTCTTCACTGGATTTTAAAATTAAGAATGACATTTTAATAGTAAAATAAATTTCAATTAATTGACATTTTTATAGAATCTCTCATTTTCCACTCTGAAAATATGTCTCAAGTGAACGAAAATCTATCTTCAATTAAAAAATAAATAAAAACTCTTTAGCATCCAAGTGTGTTTTAAGTGGTGGTGATTTGGACTCACTCATTTTCACAAAATTGGAGTTGAGTTAGATGACGGACATGAACTATAATATGCTAGAGAAAACAAGCCATGGAGAAAGTTTGTTGCACCAATTATTGACTACAACAAGGCTTGAATCTCCTTAAGCAAAAGGAGATACCCATGCTTTTATTGACTAGTTCGTGTAATAAAAATAAAGATAATATTATTTCTCTGTATAAATTTATCTCATTCGCAACAAAAATTATCCACTGGTTTCAATTGTGTTTGTCTTGGTGCCAATAAGATATATATATATATATATATATATATATTCGCACTTGTATGTTATAAAAAGAGTTACAGTGTTATCACATGCACCAAATTGGTCCATAAAAATATTGTTTATAGTTATATCTTATCAATCGAGTTACAAATTTAAGGAATTAGCTGTCTTAATAAATATTTAATCTGTTACGACAATTAAAAAAATAAAAAATTATCCCTAGCCTTTCGGAATAATATTGCTTGTTGATCAAGATACTTAATTTTAGATATATATGTTATCAGCTCTTGATAAATACTATTTAATGATTTATTGTATATTTGAGTTCAAAATTAATTTAATGTATTGAGGGCGATAATGATGTCAGACTATCAATATATAATAACATTTTTATTACGATCAAACAAAACTATTAATTAATATGGAATGTTGTATAAAATAAACTAATATGCTTAAGTATTTAAGGAATTATGTTTGTGCAAAGATAACTTGATCAGGCAACATGTCATAGCATGTTTAAAAATATCTTTACCGTTGAAATAATAATAATAATACTAACAACAACAACAGCAACAACATTAGAGAATGTTAACGAGGAATCAGAGACTCAGAAGCAAAAGTAAGCAATAAAATTAGGTTGTGTTTGTTTAGGAAAAAAAAAAAGTTAGAATTTTTTTTTTTTCATTTTTCAGTATTTGTTTCGTATTTAGGAAAAAAGTCAATAAAAAATTATTTTCAATCAACAGAAAATAATATAATATTTTTTTAAAAAACGTTTTTCTAGTTAAAAAAAAAGAAAAACATTTTCATTTTCGCGAATCGTCTCGTTTCCGCGTTACTTATCTCTCTCTCAATATATTTTAATAATTTTTTTCCTATCTTCTTTTTATTTTAAATATATCAAATTAATTTTTAATTATTACTTGTCAATTATTATTAATTATTTAATTATTTTTCTCTATTTCTACTAATATTTGATTTATATATACATTAAATATTCTTAAAAACTATTTTTATACCTTAAAACTATTTTTATAATAAATATTTTAATAATTTATCTATATTTTTTTACTATTATCTCAAACACCACCTAAACATACTTAAATAATTGAAAATGATTATTACTAGATTGTAATTTTTTATAAAAATTTTGAAATTAATTAATAAATACATTATTTTTCCAACACTATTCATTTGTAATTAAATCAATAATTTGTAATTTTAATCAGTTGTAAAATTTTGTTAGTAATTGTAGTTAAATAATTAGTTACAAATTATTCCAACATTAATCTTTTGAAACCAAATGAATAATTATCTACAAATGATAATTAATAATTTATAAAATGGTTTTTTAGATTAAATTATCATTTCAATTTTTTTAAAAAAAAAATCTTAATTGAGTTACTAAAATAACAATGCTATAATTACTTAGAAATGTTTTTTTTTTTAACTAAATGTGAATATTGATTTATTTTTTTCAAGTAATTTTGATAAATTAGTTTGATGGTTAAAAATATATTTTTTATTTTTTTAATTAAAATTTTAGAGTCAGTATTTATGAAAAAATTTTAAATTTTTTAAATATATATTTTATTGTGAAATTTTGAATATACTTTTTTGAAGTTTATCAAAATTTGTTGATATAATAATCATATACTCGCTTTTATATTTTAATTTTTTATATCAAACAAATGCTGTAATATATTTTTCTATAAATTTTTCATGTAATTGCCAAACGATAAAAAATATTTTCTTGAAAAATAATTTTTTTAAAAATAACTTATTTCGAAATTGATTTTCTTATGAAAATTGTTTTTTACTAAATAAACAAACCTTAGAAGCAACAAGAACTAACTAATAAAATAACCCACGTGGAAGTAATTTAATGGGCAGTACAAAACCTTTAGGCTAATTAATAGTTGAGACCACAACTGCCATTTTCATATTCAAGTTATGCAACTCGAGTAGTGGTGAGAATCTGATACGTGTACAAAGTACAAACAATGATATAAACTTCTGACGTGAAGTCTCATCTCTCCATGCAGCCACTCTCGCGTCTCCATGTGCATTTTCTTTCACTTTTTCGACGTCATAATTCTTACAGTTCGTTCGGTTGCCAACAACATTAAGACGTTAAAAATAAAATATTTATTTTAAAAAAATTAACAAATTTTAAAAATCAAGAAAGTAGAAACCATTTTAAAATTAAAAAAAAAATTAGAAACATAATATCAAAAAAAAATTGAAGTAACTTCAACTTCAAGTATTTAGATTTTTTAAAGATAGTTTCAGCTCTTTATGTTTTTTTTTTAAATGTTTTCCAGGTTTTTTTTTTAAAAAGGGTTTCAAGTTTCTTTAATTTTTTTTAATAGGTTTTCATGTTTTAATCTTTTGAAAATTAATTTTTCTTCTAATGATTTAAGGGCCATTTTCATCTTAAAAAAATGAGAAAAAGCATATAAAAGCAAAAAATTCTTAAAGAACATATGAAACAATACATCGATTATTTAAGAATAGAAGGATTAATTAACCCAAAAATAAGATAAATAAAAAAATTATGCACTTATTATTTTTTCCTTAATAAAAAATACTAAAAATTGCATTAAAGAAAATATAAGTAGCATTAATTCTAAATATCCATAGAAAATACAAGGAGTAGTATTAAAACACAAAAAATCCTTACCGAGTCTTCTTTTTATTATCCCCTCAGGTATCTTGAATTGTATTCACTATTCTTTCCTCGTACAAAAACTCATCAATTTTGTTATCAATATTAAAAGTCTGTGCAATCTTTTTTTTATTATTAGAGTATAGATAATTGACTTAATTTATTGATTATCCAAATCATTGGCATAATTTAAATTAAAATGGTTGATGTTTTTTTGCAATTCAAAATACTCCAATTGATATCTTATGTGGGCTACCTAACCCAATCCCCTTAAAATAGAAAAAAAAAATCCTAAATCGACCTAGATAGCATTATAAATAAATCCTACCCTATCCACACACACGGACATGCTAACACATAGAAAGAAAAAAACCATAGCAGTCGAAAGAGAAGCAAAGATAGCAACCGAAAGAAGCTACCATTGCTCCCAACCGATCGACTTCGACCAACACACATCTAACCATCCGAATCTTCCACCAAAGATGATTGTAGCACCGCTCGAACCTCTCCATTCCGACGATAGAGTAGCCCTCACGTACCTATCGAAGTTCCACCACCGTTGCTCGCCTATAAATCCATTTTGGTCCCTAAATTACTAATTTAATCAATTATGCCCCTTATACTTTCACATTTCGATCTTATTTTCATCCAAATTTTATTATTTTGCTTGATTGCTTTTCTCGTTTCATAAGATGATAATGTCGGTTATGTGATTAAAAATGAATATTTGGATGATTTTTTTAATGTTAAACATTTGGTTAGGGGTGTAATTGAGATATTTGAAAACTTGAATATTAGGTTATATGTAACATAACAAAAAATATATATATAAATTCAGGTTTTTTTGATGTGTGATGTGTTTTAATGTTCAATTAGATTGAGAATAATGGATTATAGTTTTTTCTTTTTTCAGCTTTAATCTTGTCTTTTTTTTTATTTTGATTTCTATTATTATTTTATCATTATTTTCAATAAAAAAGGGTTGTTTAACATATTATATAGTATCTTTATTTTTTATATAATAATTCGCTAAGGAATTGTCGATCCATGATGAAGCTAGCAATAGGTTAGTAATTTTTTTAGACGAGTTAAAATAAGCTTAATATCAATTTATAGGCTAATGGCCTTGTGGATGTATATTGGCTATTTTATATTTCATGAAGTCATTTTTAAGCAATCTGTGATTATTTTTTTTTACATGTTTTTATGTTTTGCATTTTGTGTGTTTATTTTATGTTATACTAGCTTAGGTTAGTCTAGATAGAGTAGGTTTAGGACTCGAGATTGTTTTTGTTCTAATGACAAGCCTTTTTCTTGTTATTTTATTTTATTTTATTTTATTGCTATAGGTTATAGTTGATGCTAATTTGTTTTTATTTTTTCCTACTAATTTTTTCTTCTTGCAAATTTAGCTTTTAATTTAGCTTAGAACCTAATTTAATATTTTAAAGTGGCATGATAGGATGGCATAGGCTTGAAGCCCATGTCCATTTTTTAAGTTATTATGGACTTATAATTTTATTTTATTTTTATTTTTTAATGGTTTGACAAGTGAATTTAGGCTTAGGCCCATGTTCATATATATATATATTGTGTTTTTGTAAGATTAGGATTTAATGTGTTATGGGCTTTTAGCCCTAATTTTTACCATCACAAATGGGCTCCAACGACTCAATAACATATTAGGTAAGAGATTGAGTCTTCTTTCAATCTTTAAATCATCTCATTTAGAACCGATAAGAAAAGGCCTAGTAATCAAACATGTAAATCAAGATAGAAAAGGTAATTTGCATGAATGAATTCTCCTAAACTAGAAATACAAGGTAAGCTCACGTCAAGGGTAAACTAGGGTGAATGTAGTATTCTCCAATTATATAATCAACTCCCTTACTTAGAACTCTTAAGATCAATGCTAGGTTTTTCATAGCTTTGATCTTTTAAAAATTGACTAATGACTCTACACATCTACCTATTTTCATTTTTTATGATTATTGAGAGGTCACCATGTGACAAAATGGTTAATCCATTAAAAAAACGATGGGTTAAAGCCTATGATATTTCTTATTTTTGGGATTATATTTGTTTTATAAGTTCTATCTTAATATGCTTATGCTTTTTACTTCAATGTTTAGGCTTGCATATGAAGTGTGACCTTTTTGCTCACAATAACCCATACACAAGAGTAATTTTTTAGCCTACACCCATTATGGTCTCTTAAATTAAGATTAGAAAGAGGGAAGTGGCATTTAAGGGATCTGCGATCTTGGAGCTCGCTCAACTCAACCCTCCACTCACATGAAAAATTTATCCTTATGCATGAGACTACAAAGGGCAACTTAGTAACTCTTATACATGAGAATAGAGCTTTAAGTATCTCATACTATGGTTAAACTTGAGCTCACGATGGGAGTCTTTGAAGGAGTTAGGTTAGCCAACCTTAACCATTCACTTCTAGATAGATCTAGAACCTATTTTTAGGTTACCCTCGGGATGTAGGGCACACACCTTTATTTTCTTTATTCAGTTATAGGATATAATGAAAGCCATTTTTAATCATGACAAACAGGAATAGGATAGTGCTTATGACTCATGAGACTACTATTACAAAAATACCCACTAAGGATTTCCTTATTGATTCTGAAACTCTTCAACATTATGAAGGAAATTACCTAAACTTAGAAGCCACTTTACCCCTAGCGTTGAATATTACTAGAAAGACCAATGATGTGTCAAACCTCGGAGCTATTTTTGAGAGATTGAGCTCAAAAGATCAAAAATCCTTTAAATATAGTTATAGGAGAATGATAGATTTAGTGAAGGTACCATTTCGGGATGATGCTATTAAGACAATAGTCCCTTATTGAAACATAAATTATTGATGCTTCACATTTGATGCAACCGACCCGACCCTTACCATCATGAAATACCAAGCCCTAGTAGATTTTTCACAATCATTATATTGAAATTACACCTATTACCCAAGTGAAGAAGCACCACATTGGTTAGAAGCTCGGTTGATTTTGAAGGCTACTAAATTCGAGCTAAATGTTCAAGGAGAGGCTAAATGATGGTTATGGTCTCAATGGGAGTCGAATTCAATAAAGAATTGATCAAAAAATACTCGAATCTAGGGCATCCGAGGATCCTAGCATTAGGAATTTTTGGCTTAGTCTTATTTTGTACTTATACTAAATTCATTGATTATGAAGCAATAAATGTCTTTGTAAAAATGGAAATGCAAAATGCTAATCTAATATCGACAATCATTACGTAAACTATCCAAAGCTTCAATTATATCCGAAAGCATGAGGTGCCGCCCTTAACTCTTACACATATGGATAGTCAACCACCTACGACCCATAGTGCCTATGTTTGCTCTTTGTTGGATAAAAGGAAGAACTACTATTTAAGATTTGTGCCATCATTAATGGACCGATATGAACCTAGCAAAATGGGAGAGCTTTTATCAAAATTTAAGTCCGAGTTCGAGTGGTTTGGAGAGCTATTTGGATGTCACCCGCTCAATATCTTATGAAAACTAGAGATTTTCCTTAGCTATTGCTAATTTGAGCTAGAGATTGTGTGAGTTACTTACCATCTATTGCTACTAGACAGATTGGGTTATATATAATGTATTCCTTGAACCATCAAATTAATCGAGTATGATTTTTTAAAAGAGATTTCATGCCTAATTTAGAAGTAGCAAGGGCTACTTGGAGTAAGAGAACTTTCATGAAGCAAAACGAACATGACCATCAACTAAGGACCACCGAAGGATATCCAAGATGGCAAGTTAGAAGGAGAATTTCTTATACCTTACCCGAGGTTATATGGGGCGGAAAGGAAAAGTGTAGGCGAAGATAGTTCCAAAGGTTTAGAGGAAGAAAATTTGATGGTGCAAGAAATTCTCCACGAAAAGCTTCGACGATAAGCTAACCGAGATAATCTATAAGAAGTAAAAAGCAAAGGATGATTATAGGCGTTTGGTCACCATATAAGAAGACATAAGGAATCAAGTTGAGCTACTTTAACTGGAGAATCAATAATTGAAACAAAAGTTAAGGGTTGAGAAAGTGAAAAAGAAAAAAGGCAACGGAGAAAAAAAAAGTCAGTTCGAAGGGATAGTCCTATTCCATCAAGAAAAGAACCGGTTGATAGCTCGATTAACAACTAGGAAGGAAATGAAACTCAAGCTACATACATTATAAGAGCATATAAAAAAAATGAAAAGTATCATTCAAGCTCTCATGAGAGAGATCAAGAGCAAAAAGTTTCAAGCCAAACCAATTAAGGAAAAAAAGCCTACTTGATCGGCAAGCTAGAAATAGAAGTTTGAGTATTCAAAGAAAAGATTAAGCAAAGGATGGCCCAACCGATTGAGCAAAACTTCTACCTTACCCAAACAAGAACAAGACATTTCAATCAAATATGTCGATATAAAGACATGGCTACTAGAATAATTAGAGAAACTTACAACTTAAAGGACATAGTGAGGAATATTGCTAGAGGAATAGAAGGCTATGATCAATATGCCATTGGAGCATATCTAGATCGATGTAGTGATTTACTTTTTAATATTGCTGCTAACGGAACACCCTTACTAGCTGGTGTTGCTTAACAAACAACTTATTTATGGATTTTATGCACTTTATTATTGACTAATGGGACCTTTTTTTAAAATATTGGTGTTATTTATTTAGAGAATAAGAATTTTTCTTCATGAAATGTTCAATTTCACTAAGTTTCAATAGTAATTCCTCAAATATGTTTTAATGATAGTAGATAATATTTTACTAGAATATTAAAGCTTAACATGACAAGTAATCTTTGATTAAATGCATAGATCATTAACTAATAATAGCTCATTGTAGACTAAAATTTCAAAGGTCGTCTCAAACATCTTCATTGATTGAGAGCCCACTAATGAACAATAAATGAGTCATGGAACCATTTAGGATATGTGATCTATATTTAAACACTTATATATATATTGCTCATGTTTTAAGAGAAATATAGGTTGCACCATCAAAGCTTAGCCTTCGTAGAAGATCCATGGTACTAGACCTAAAAGAAGGATAGAGAACAAAGAAAGAAATCCATTGGTGCATAAATATACCAATGAGATCGAAGCTCTCAATGGAGATGTGGGTCAACCGACTACTTGGTTAGAGTAACTACTACAATAAAAAACAATGAGTAAGGGGATTTATAAGGGGACTAGCTTTGCTATGCTTGTAGATTAATGAAAAACCCCATTTCTTTCCTATATCAAGCTTCAAGATAACACCACCCTATATAATTGGATATCTTGTGACTATGCCTATACTCCAAAAGGCATCTATTCACCTTTATCCATCGAATAAGGAATTTTATTCACTAATCAAGAGTCATTATATCACAATACCCCGCATCTATTTATGGTACTAACTAAGGAAGTCATTAGACAATCGAATGAGGTTACAATGAAAGGGTCGGGAAAAGATAAAGTTGGGGGGAGGGGATCAATAGATGATAAGTTATTATTTATCAAGGAGTACTTAAGAGTTATTAAGTGTATAGACTTATATGACTCGATCAAGGCTACTCGAAATGTGTTTAGTACTAGATGTTATCATCTTAAAAAAGTTTAAGGTACTAGAATTCATAAAATATATGGTTACTCAATGCCCAAAGAGTCATCTTTAAGTCTATTATAGTAAGATGGCAGAGGTCATGTAGGATGAGAAGCTTTCAATTCACTTCTTTCATGAGATTTTGGACCGTAATACTCTTAGTTGGTATATGCAACTTGATAGAGCTAAGATCCGAGGGAGGAAAGATCTAGTGGATGCCTTTATTCACCAATATAAATTCAACCTAAGCATGGCTCCCGACAAACAACATTATAGAATATAAAGAAGATATGGCAAAAGAGTATGTTAAAGAATACATTCAAAGGTGACACAAAGTAAGAACTCAAATTAGTTTGCCTCTAATAATAAAAAAAAGAGTTGACATCTATGTTTGTCAACTCTTTTAAGGTATTGTATTTTGAGTATCTAATCGGTAATTCATCCTCAAAATTTATTAATGCGAATGTTATCTCTAAGAGAGTGAAACATGCTCTTAAATCCGACAAAATCATAGATCCCACATAGGCCAACACTAAAAGAGGAAGTTTGGAAAGAAAAAAGACAAAGAAGTTCACCATCTTGAATCCATTAATTTCTAACAACGAGGGCGGTGGAATAACCAATGGCATTCAAATAGCTCTTATAATCAACCTAGAAACCTAGCTCATGTAAACACTAGCTCAACCATCTCCAACATATTACACTCACCACAAAACTATTAAACACCCCTACAAAACATCCAAGTACAAAATTGAACGACCATAAATAATCTATAAAAAACTCTCTACTAAAATAACAACAAAAGATACTAAAGCCCCTTATGCCCACTATTTGTCTTATTAAGCGAGTTGTTTAAACATCTCGTGGCCATTAGATAAATTGTTTTTATTTTATAAATCTAGTACAACCACTATATCCATATTGGTATAAACTAGATGAGAGATACTAATACCATTTAGGTAGAGTTGGACATAATATTAAAACTTGTTTAGCCTTCAAAAGTATGCCAAGTTTCTCATCAAACACGATTGGATATCATTGAGGGAAACTCAAGTGCACCTAACACTAATATTGATCCTCTACCAAATTATATGATGGCTAACAATAAGAATGTGAATATGTTTTCGATAGATGTGGAGTATGATAGAATGAGATCCACATTGAGGGTGACCATGAGTCAATTTTTTTATATGATGATAGATGCTTGGATATGTTCAAAGAAGTAAGAAGAAATATGATGCTAGGGATACAAGGCATTACTATAAGTTCCATTAGTTGTATAGGGATGATATTGAAAGTTGTAAAAAGTTCTACCAAGCAAGTAGAGAGGATGTTAATTTTGAAGGTGTTGAGAATTGAAAAATGACATGAACAATCGTAGATTGACATGGTCAATGATGAAAACTTCAAAGTTAAATAGATTGAGACTTATAACTATCACTTCTAAGAGAATGGGCCACCAAGACTAGTATTGAAAATGTCAACCACTCTCAATATAGTTATCAAGCCCTTTCTTACAACTACAAGCCTAAATTCCATAACGATGAATCTAGCTTAGTGATGCAATCCTCTATAAGAGGTCTAATTAGAAGTGGCAGATGTTATACACTAGAGGATTTAAACCGACGTAATAGCACCAAAAGAAAAAAAGATCAAATGGTAAAGAACCTAGTGAATGAAGAAGAGGTCGTGAAATTTTTAAGGTCTGGTGAAGCATCATATTATAGCTTGATAGATCAACCGAAGAAAACTCTTACCCGAATCTTCTTACTTTTTTTAATTTTAAGCTCGTAGTCTCATACGAGGGCACTACATAAGGTTTTAAATGAAGCTTATGTACCATAAGACATGTTAGATGAATCGATGAAGCATTTGCTAGAAAGGATTCGGGTGACCAACTACCTCTACTTTTCAAAAGATGAGTTGGATCTAGAAGAAACATGCCATAATAAAGCATTGTATATCAATGTGAAATGTAAAGATTATACTATTGCCAAGGTGCTGATCGACAATGATTCCATCCTTAATGTTTTACCATTATATGTCTTGAATTGTCTCCTCATAAATGCATTACACATGAAATCCAATCATATGATGGCTCATGCCTACGATGGTACGCTAAGGTACGGAATGTCTTAATACCTTATATAGAGATCGAAGGACTCGTGATAGTGACCTTCATGCCTTTGAAGTAGTTAACATAGATTTAGTGCATGAGAATTCTATCAAAAAGGTCCTTAAACTAGCTGAAGCTACATTGATGGTCGTAAAATATCTAGTTTGATATAAAGGCTCTCTCATATTTGAATTGATATAAGAGATATTTGAAGATATGAAGCAAAATGAACAAACATTTAGATTGGGCTTTAAACCTAAATGGAAGGACTTTTTTAGGATAAAAGAGGAGAAAAAAGTCTCAAATTAAAAATCGTGAGCCACATAATCCAAAGAATGAGATCCCACATATCCGAGTCATATTCCCTCACCCAAATCATGTCATACATCCAAATGAAGAAGTAATGGGTCCGAATAGGCTATTCTTAGACATGAGTGAATGCATTAGTTGTTGATAAAATTGAATAAAAAGAGCCACATCTCTAGCTTGTAGCTATAAACATCGATCCATTGATCATATATTATCATAATTGATCATCAATCCTTTAGAAGAAGAGGTTGACACCGATTAACTCATCGGAAAGTGCAAACCTAAAAATAGCTCAACAATTGGGAGGAGGAAGAAATTCTACTTCTCTTTAAGGCTAAGTAATTTACTATAATATTTCCTTAACTTTTTCAGTATCGAGGCTCAAGATTTTGAAAAAGAAATTCTTTATATTTAAGCCTAGTTTTGTTCGGACTATGTTAGCATATGAATGAATGGTTTTATTTTTTAAAGTACTTGTTTGTTTTCTTTTTCTATCTTTTATTTTATATTTTTTGCTTTCAAGAGTCTTGAAAATGATCACCTCCTAAATTTATGAAATGTTTGTGTTGAATATTTGGCTAAATGAATCGTTTATTATTGTGGAATGAAACTCCGAAGAGGATGGAGAAAAGGTGACTAAAGAATTTCTAAAATGGTAAAGTGCTCGAATGACTGATATTATCAAATAAAGAAGAGTTAAAAATAATAAAAGTCGATACCAAAGAACACAAAAAAAGAGTTAAAAGTGGGGATTTTGATTTTAAAGGAAGAAAAAGAAAAACTCATTGAGTTGCTGCAAAGAGTATTTCTATGTATTTGCATGGTCCTAAGCATATTTAAAAGAAGAAAAAGAGAAACTCATTAAATTGTTGTAAATGGTATCTCTATGTATTTGCATGGTCCTATACAAATATGCCAAGTTTTGATACATATATTATCATACACAAGGTTCCTTTACTACTTAGAGTGTAAGCCAGGTAAAATAGAAGTTGAGAAGGATAAGGCTAGAGGTATTATTTAAGGTAAAAGCTAAGATAAGAAATAGTTTCATATGGGTGATAAAATACCCAACATAGATGTCTAATATTATGGTGATCGACAAGAAAGATGGAAGGATCAAAATATGTGTGGACTTTCACAATCTCAATGATACAAGCTTGAAAGATGACTTTTCATTGCCTCATATAGATGCACTTATAGATAATGTTGCAAGAAATTCGACCTATTTCCTTTATGAACGGATTCTCGAGATACAATAAGATAAAAATGACATAAAGACAAAGAGAAAATTATTTTTATCACACCATAGGGAACTTACTTCTATAAGGTTATACCATTTGGATTGAAGAACGCCGAAGCTACTTACCAAAGAGCTATGGTTGTCATATTCCATGATATGATGCATAAAGAGTTAGAGGTGTATATAGATGACATAATATCCAAGTATAAGTGGGAAGAAGACCATATATAGATTTTACAAATATTGTTTCGGAGGTTGTAAAGATATCGGTTGAAGCTTATTCGGCCAAATGTTCCAATGGCATGAAATTAGATAAGCTATTGGGGTTTGTA